ATCGAAGTAAGTTTTTTGTTAGTAAATATTTTCTCCATAAGAATATATGCAATTAACACAATTTAATTTATCTCAATAGATTGGAATTTATGCTTCGACACTCTTAACGTTCGTAGTAATAATATTTCAATTGGTCTTTCCAAGATTGGATAAGTTGGGTATACTTAAAGTATCCAATTTCATTAAAGGAACCGAAAAAATACATCATACTTACGTTCCATTAGGACACCCATCATTTAAAACTGTCGAGAATCCACCTGATGGAATTCTAATATTTCGGTTTGATAAACCGTTATATCATTTTAATTCCTCATATATAGATGATAAAATAATAGCATATGCAAAGGACAAGACACGTAAATATTATAAAGCTCATAAGAATAAAGGTGATCGACCTTGGAACGATTCAAAAGATACAGATCCATTCAATGATCCGGTAAATTTAAAAAAACCAAGACTTAAGGCTGTAATATTTGACTTTTCGATCGTAAGCGTAATGGATTCAACTGTTACAGAAATGCTAATTGATCTTAGAAAAGAATTGGATAGGTATAGTCAACGTTCAGTTGAATTCCATTTTGCTAATGTCATGAATGAAAATGTACAAAATAGTTTGATTGTTGGAGGATTTGGTAAATTTGAACCAAAGGATTTGGGAGCAGAGGATGTAGAAATAGAAAAGAAGAAGAATGAAGCAGAAATTGATGTTGATGTTGAAAAAGGAAACGGCAGCAGTAGTGTTAAGGAGGTTAATGTTGAAGCCACTAGTTCCTCTAAAAAATTCTTTCATTTATCTATAGAAGAAGCTTTAGAATGGGCGAATTCTTAATAAGATATATTATTTTTTTTTTTTTAAATTAAGAATGAAAATTTAATTAATTAATTATAGTTAACTTATAAATAAACATAATCTGTAATTAATAAATAACACATGATTAAATGATTTTTTACACAGTTGTTTGTACTATTTCCCGTTCTTTCCCTATAAAAAAAAACTGTCTAAAAGGTACTGAATTATAAAAAGTACGGAATTGGACACTTCAAAGTACTAATCAATACTGAATTGGTACGGAAACCAATACATAACTAAATTTTGCAGTGTTTATATCATTTCTATTACTTATATTAAGTATAAAACTTTCAGTTGTATTTTTATCCATACTTCATTCCAAAATTATGTTAATGACAATGAACTGGGCACTTCCTGGTGCACCGACGTTTTTTTGGAACTGTTCCAGTGTCATAATTTATATGCTTCCTCGACCGAAGATCATATCTATTATTTAAAGTAATATCACCACCAGATGTTGTTGGAAGAAGGGTGTCAGTTGTTGTGGCGGTTGTTGTTAGAAGAAGGACATCTGTTGTTGTTGTGGTTGTTGTTGGAAGAAGTATGTCTGTTGTTGTTGTTGGAAAGATGATGTCTGTTGTTGTTGTTGTTGTTGGAAAAAGGATGTCGGAAGAAAGACATCTGTTGTTGTGGTAGTGGTTGTTGTTGGAAGAAAGATATCTGTAGGTATATCCTACATATTTGAAATATGTATATGAATGTATGAAAGTAATATTTAAATAAATATATATATATTATATATAACACAAAATGTTATATAATAATCCATTAATATAGTTCAATATATAATATAATCTTCCAGTTAATTATTTCACAAAACAGATTTCTAAAATAAAAACAGAAAGTAAAAGGAACTTTAAAATACTTACATCATCACCATAATCATTTATAATCATTATTACCAACCTGTAATGCAATTTAAATTTTAGTTTTCATTAAGAAAAAAAAAAAAGGATAATCAAAATAAAGGTAGATTTACTTCAAGATTAACATTATTGTTGTTGTTATTCTGTAACAGGAATGCAATAATACAAAGATTAATTTCTAAAATGAATATGAACCAACTAATCAATAAAAA